TGTCTATTGCGGTTTATTTCTTCCCGCAGACTTTCTCTTTCAATGTGAACTGCTCTTTCTAGCTCACTCATTCTTATGGACATCTGTTCATTTTGTTCTCCTAAACTGTCTACTATGTTGTTTAATGCTTCTTCTAGTGCTGCCCCGTTATCCACGAGTGGCGTCACTAGTGGCGGTGTAACCCTGTCGGTCCCAGGTAGCTTCGTGCTGGTCGAGATCCGGGCCTTGACTCTCTGCCTCGACATCTTTTCATTGTCCATCTCAGGATCCGCCAATGCGTTGCCTAGCCCTCTGTTTCTACTCTCCCCAGTTTGCAGCTCTGAATTTGTCATAAAGGCGAAGTCTGTTGACTGGCATGGTGTGTTTACCTCTTTGCTTATCGTTCTCACCACACCAAATTTGTCCATGTTTCTAGTCTCTTTTTCGATGTATGCCTCATTCTCCTGGGTCGAACTATTGAGGCTGCCTTGAGATCCAAAATCCACTTGCTCTTCTTCGTCCTCCTCCTCCTGGGATTCACCTTCATTTCCTGCGCCCCCTCCCATGGTGAATGGAAAGATGTTTCCTAAGGTGTTCCTCATTCTTTCTGAGAACGATGATGACGTTGTTTGTTTCTCAGTTCCGCCTGCCACCATAGTGTTGTCTGTTGGAGATTTTCTAGTTGCCTCTATTTCAGTTGAGATGTAGGACAGTTCCGACATCTCCTCTCGATCCAATGTCCCGGTGGAAGTGGGAAAATCATGGCCTTGTTCCACCGGAGTAGATTCACTCGCCAGCCTTCTGCCTCTCCCTTCCAGTCCATGTACTTCCTGGTTGTCGTTCATGTCATGGTCCGTGTTGACCTCCACTTCTAACAGTTCTTTTCGCTTTTCTGAGGTCTTCTGACTCCTTGTTTCAACCGTTCTGCCTGAAACCGTCTCCCTTTTGTCGGTCCGGGCTCGTTTAATCCAATCCACAAAAGGATCGGTCATTGTTCTTCTTTGCTTTTTAGGTATGAATTTCCTAGAGCTATTACCTCGTTTAGGTATCCCTGACTTGTCTAGACTCATTCTCAATTTGTCACTTGTTAATGGCTATACACTTAATTCGATTGCTATTGACCTTATAGTTTGACTACCAATAATAATGACACAACACAATAAATTTCACAAGATTCTATTAAATAGTGACCACGAATCCCTGTATGTTATCAGAGTACAGTTTTGTATATAATTTATTCACACTAACCGATTATCGGTCGTAAGATTTGAGAATTAGCACAATATGATGTTATCAGTCAATTTAAAGATAGTGTACTCACTACCCAATCAAGCGCAAATTATGTTGATTTAAAATCAAAAACAAAAAAATATATATAATGACAGAATATGAATATCTCTATTAAAAAAACGTATGTGTATTGTACTTTTAGTTGGTCGCAGTACAGTAGTCGAACTTATATTTTAAAGAAAAAGCTTTCCCTGCTTGGTGCTGCACCAAACAGACAAAACTTTGAAGGTAGTAATTTTCTCAAGTGGGCGTCTATTGCACCCACCGAGTACTGTGTTACCTATCTGCCTTCGGACTGCCCGAGCTAGACCTACTAAAATCCTCAGGGCAGTCACTTTTCAAAAAAAAACGTATTGGGTGTCAATCCACACCAATGAATTACGCTCTCTTTAGTTTAGACTTAGTGTCGCGAATATCCGAGTTCGGACCTGTTTTGATTTGGTCTGGTTTTTTTGAAAGGCAAGTTACCAGTGCAGTGACTGATTCCTAGCCTGTCTGCTAATAACCTAATACCTCTCACTTTAGTCTTTCTTCCGTTTATCTAAGTCCTTTAGTAAATAAAACCCCTCCGGATTGGGAAAGAGAAAAAAATATACAGGACCCTTCCGGGCTAACAAAATTTAGAGCCCTCCGGATTGGGTCCCCTCTGAGTTAATAGATATAAGACCCCTCCGGATCGGGACCCTCCGAATTAGCAAATATAAGACCCCTCCGGATTGGGAGCCCTCTGGTTTGTAATAGTAGCTTTTCGGAGATTTCCTTCTTTCAAGCTATACACCTTCGGATACGTTCTCCGATGCGACTTTGCTGTTTCAATTAACTAGTAAGGGTATGTACTGCTTTCCTAGACCCTTCCGGATTGAAGTTAAGCCTCTTATTTGACAATTCACGCTAACGGTGAAGGGTCTTATTGCTAGCCCAACTTCGGCTCGATTAAGGATTTCCTGCGCCTTTAGCCCTCCCTTTTTGTCTAGAACAGCCTAAATTTACTTTATTCAACCGCTGTTACCTTTTGGTAGGGGTATAAGGGCTTTCCTAAAAAAATTTATAAAACGTGAAGGGTCTACCCCTCCCAAATTGGTGAATTTGCTAAAAACAATTTCAAAAACTTTTCACGCTTACTTCTTCGAAAAACTTTTGTCCCTATCAGTAAGCTCAGCTAATTTTTGATCTATTGGTACCAAGATCAACTGGATCTGTTCAGTAGTTCCAAAGTTATTAACCAAAACGTATTTTTTCTAAAGTCAAAAAATTTATCTCTTATAGGTTCCGCCTAACTTTTTCCGCAATTCTGTTCTTTTCGACCTAAAAATGATTGATCCGAGCTCATAAGGCTTACACTCTTCTAGTTCAATGCAAAAAACCCGATCTAAAACGCCTTAGTAGAAAAAATTTGCGAAAAACTATGCTACCTGGACCCCTCCGGATTGATGAATCCACCAAATCAAACACGTTAAGTTCGATTTCTCTGCAACCCGGAAAGCTTTCAGAAAGCGGGTTTTAAAACTTGTAGATTCACTAGTGGACGTTGTCCGAACAACTATTTTTACTGTTCTAACTCAAAAATTTCAAAAAATTTTCTGATTTCTTAGTGTTTCGTATTATCAAAAATCGCGAAAATTCGGTTTTCGGTACCAAAATAGTTCCAACCACTTCCGAACTAAACTTAACCGGTTCTATCTATTATGGTAGTGCAGTTACGATGTAACACACCACTTCAGTGCTTTTTTCCACTTCAAAAAATATCGATATCTCAAAAATCGCGACTTGTGGGGGGATCAAAATATCGCTATTTTGACCCTAAAAACCGGTCTGCTTTCTGTGTTTTTAACTGAAAAACGGTATAGGAGTATTAATATAGGCTATATAAGTAATAATAGTAGGAATACTATACCCCTCCGGGTTTGTTTAATATCCGAATTAAGGTGCTTAACTCGGATATTCGCAGTTCGGTGAAGGGTCACTACAGTGCAGCACTGTCGAGCCCCCCACAGATTACTATCTTAATTTTTGTAACAAAATGGATACAAAACTTGTTAACGATACCCAACAGTCGATTGTCGTTGTCGTTGAGCCCCTTCTTCTTGCTCATTGTACTGCTTGGCGGATCAGTCTTCTCCCAAGACCCCTCCAGATTGAGCGCAAATCAGCTGACCCTTCCGGATTGAGCGCAATTTATCATTAACGTGCTTAAATGCTCAAATAACCCTACAGTACAAGCCTCACAAACGGGCTACAAAGTTGATCGTAACAATCCTGACTGATATAAATGCCTGTAACACCAATATATCTATCAACAACAAACGGGAGGGTCGGATCACATCTTGTCTGGGGGGATGATTTCTACTGATTGTTTACTTTTTTACTGTTTTTGGTTTTTTCGGTTATTTTTTTATGTTTTTTGTTTTTCTTGGGTACTATACTACTTTTTGTTTGGTTTTATGTATATCTTTAAGTGTTTTTGGTCACAAACCACTCAGGGGATGAGGGGTTCGCGATTCCCCCCACCCTTCCTGGTTCGTGAATTTTTGGTCTTAACTAGGTTAAAAAACTATTCACGGTAATCCGGAAGGCTTCCGCGTTCCGAACTAACCTTCCGCCCCGGCGGATTAGGCCTATTAAGGGCGTTAATGTGAGCATCCGCTCGGCGCGGAGTGCTCGTTAACGGTTCTGCCGGTCATGATGTTAAAAAAGAATAACACCCAGGAGCGCCATAAAAACATGTATGTAACATTCGCCCGGAAGATATACATACAAAACTATGTCACACCAGGCAAAGAGGTTGCAAGAGCAGAGGGATTGGTGGATGCGATCCTACGAAAATTTAAAAGCGTGGAAAGAGATCGTAATCAGCTCCGATGATGAAGAAGCGCTGCTAAGGCAGATTACTGTGTCAAACGCATCAGGGCCTAGCACCTCAAAGGCAAGGAACACGTAATGAGCAGGGAGCATTTTCGTCCATAACATTTTCGTCCATTCTGGTCGAATGTCACAGCGTATCGAATCTTGGACAAAAAGCTAAACTGGATTTGTATAAATCTATGATCGTACCAATACTCACGTACGCAAGTCCATGTTATGGATTAAGTAAATACATTATTACGGAGCTTGAAAATGTACAAAGGCGTATAGTTAAATGGATAATTCCGCATATGGATTCGTACAAAGATCGGTTAATCGAAATTTCCTTATTGCCACTGCCAATGTATATACAGATCAACAACCTTTTGTTGCTGTCAAAAATTTTATCGAAAAATTATGATGTTGACATGTTGAAAGTTCCATCGTATTCCTGTTCCTCGCGCGGTTGTATGTTTCAGCTCGAGAGGCCGAAAAAAAATTTTTGGAGGACGAATTCTTTTACCAAACATGTCGGCTAGCGAATGTGATCAAAATTGACGTGAGAGAAACAAGCAGACTGAAGAAGCGAATATTGTGGTTATTTTGGAGAAAATTTGAGAAGGACTACGAACAAATGAACAAGTGCACATGGAGAATTGCTTGCGATTGCACAATGAATGACTGTAGAAGCAAAACTTCACTATAGAACGAAAAACTGAAAGGGGGAAACCCCTTGTGCTACGAGCACAAAAGCCCTACTACTACTACTACTACTACTATTTTCGCGTTGCGCCGGAAGGTTCCGCTGTGCCAATCCGGCGGAATGGCACATGTTTCCATTGAATGTGAAATATGTTTCCATTGCATGCGAATTAGTTCCAGACAGGTTATTTTTCAGGTGGATATGTATAGGCAAAGCCTGATAGAAAGAATTCATGAACACGCTACCACCTTGGCCGAAAATGTGTTTGATACTGGCACCGAAGTGTCTTTTGCGTATGTCTTGGAAGATGGAAAGTTCTTTAGAGGAAAGGTCATTGCAGCCGAGTCTGGTATATATCGTATTTTTATACCAGATATAGAGCGAACCGTTGAGAAAACATACGCGTCGCTGGTACATGCTGATTTTGACATTTTTGATGATAGCAACTGGCGAATTGCACAGGATAGCTTCAGTATCAACAACAGCCAGAAAAGTATATATTCCACTCCGAAAGAAAATTGCTCAATAGATACCGGCAATGATCAGCACGTAATGTCAGCAACGCAAACAGGACACAATCATATCTCTTCCATTAGAGAAGCATCAAAATTTTTGTCGAAACAACTGAATGGAGTTATTTCTTCCCATAATTTAAGTGAAATTGATTTCCTGCTGGACGAGGTGGCCACAAAATTTCAACTCCACATGGAACAATTGCAGGTTCCGTTGCTGAATAAAATAGCAGCAACGAATGACTCCAGCCTAATTTTACATGTTTTGAAAGATTGGCCATTTTCCGAAAATGAGCTATTGAAAACAATGACAACTTATTTTGAACGTAACCCCGACAGAATACAAACGTCAGTAGGACTTATCTACGAATGCGCTCTCAAAGTTCTGGATTCTGAAAATCAAATGCGTTTGAAAGTTATCATAGATGAACTTCTCCTTAGGAACTTGAAATTCAGAGAAGCGTTTAAACAACGAGTGAGCAGAAGATTCCTGGAAGAATTTGATTGTCTTCAGTTGGACGATGAATGTGAAGAAAACTTGCTTCAAAATGAAGGTAGGAGAACTATTGCTTTTGAGAGAGCAAATACTGAGAGAGCAAAAAAATTCCTAACCTCAAATCCTGGTCTCCTACAACACGGTCAAAAGAAAACAATCTTTTCGACATCCAACATTATCACAAATTCAAGTCAGACAACAACTTCTTTGTTCGGGCACCTAGACTAGCCAACTATTGAAAGCCCTCTTTCCTCATTTATACATTCATTGGTGTTTTTCTTTAAAACAATACTTTGACTTTAAAAACTCTTGCACCTTTTTTGTAAATTGTAAGTGTTCTATCTGCCGATCCTAAGTCATTCCTTATTTTGTAAGGTACTTTATATTTATTTTTCTGTTTCATTTATTCAAACCATGTGTTATGTTTAATGGTGTACTTCCTATTTTTATGGAATTGAGTCTTTTACTACTACCACTACTACTATTTCTACTACTGCAACCGGGTATAAGGTTTATTTTCCTCTGCTCACAGGTATCTTCGGATTCCTACGTTGTACATATAAATGCCATCTTCGTGTAATTTAAGTTAACTTAGATTTTAAAATATCCTCGTTTATTATTAAGCGCAGCGTGTGTCTGCTTAAATTTGACCGTTAAGATTCCACCTGAATCTTTTCAAAGGAAAGTATTATTAAAAAGAAAAAATTATTTTAGTTGTTTTCCTCAATTTTTTCGGTGTTCAGTGGTTGTACTAAGACGCTGAATTGACCCATTGACCCGAATATATTTTCTTGTCTTTTGCATTTCAAATTCTTTGTTTGAAATCAGTTGAGCTCACATGGGTCAAAGTATCAGCATTTATAAAGCGAGCTCGCGAGCGTAGTGTCACATATAACGAAGTTCACTTTTTGCCAACTCAAGTCGCAAATTTGATATCATAGTTTCTCTGCTTTTTCCATGGCTAATCCTTGCTTTTCTCTAAGTGATCTTGGCGCAGAGGTGAAACTCGTAATCTCTAGGTCGGTTGTTCAATTCCGGCTCATAGACAAAGTTACTTTCAAGGCTTTTTAAAGCTAAGTTATGCTGTTTTGCTTGTGATTGCAAAGTACAGCTTCGTCTCTATTTTGCGCTTGCGATAAGCAGGAGCTATCAAGTCACCCGATGAGCGAAAAAAATCTCATGCTTGTGTGTTTTGTGGAGGGGACTTGAGTTATATGATTTTTTTTAGTTTATGAAAACGATTTTTTTCCCGCTCAACGGGTTATTTTTGATTTTGTCAATGCAGCGCAAGTTTTGTTTCGCTTTTAAAACATTAAGTTGTCCTACGTGACGTGTGTTTCTTGAAATGCACTTTTTTTGCTCTTTTTACTCTTGCGATCAGCTTAGTGTATTATTACGAACCTTCTTCTTTTCTAACCTAGCTCGCAAATAAAAGTTCATTGAAAGTGTTCATTTACTGGGAAAGTTGACTGTAGCATTGCAAATTCTATAGCATCTGTTCTCTGCCTAATTTGTGGCTAGTGTTTGGTGCCTATTAAGCTTCCGTGGCTGAGTGGTTAGTGTGTGCGGCTCATAATCTCTAGGACGCAAGTTCGAATCTCAAAGATTGATTCAAAAGCAGTTGAATCACTTATGATGCTGCTATGCTGCTCACTGCTAAACTTCATAAAAATTCAAATTTAACTACCGGGTTTTAGTTACTACTGCTATATCTAGAACTCAAACCGTTGTATGTATAATTATATTGTTTTGATATTAAATTTCTACTGATGGTTTTTCGGCTTCATAGCCGTTGACTTAAGCTCTGTCGTTTTAGTTTCCAAATTATATAGTCTGATGTAACCTGTATCAATTTTAACCTAATTCGACGTTTGCTATTTTTTTAGCGTCATGGCGCATTCATCCTATAATGGTTGTATCGCAAGTGGTGCGAAGCCCAGCTTCGCTTTTCTGTTAAGTATTTAGTTGTCGGTTTTTTATACTACTGTTGTTGCTAAAATTATTACGGCTTTATGATTTAATTATTTTTCCCCAATTGTCAACACCAGTAAATGTAAGCCAAATAGGCCACAATTATCAAAAGATATTGCTCGTTTAGCCCACAGCTGGAAATAACGTTGCTTGGCATGTTTGCCTAGATTTCCTGTTTGATAAAATCAGGTATATGTGGATGGGATTGGTTTTTTTTACTTATTTTTTTTTTCAAAAACGAGTGTAGCGATTTTCACTAAAGGGTATCCATAGAAAGTTCGCTGACACTTTTTTGTGCCTGCATACTCCCTGGTCTCCTTTTACTTACCCCTTTGTGTACAGCCTTCGAAAAAGTCTTTGGGGAAATATTTGACCAATAAATTGGATTTTTTTTTTCGTTTCGTCTAGAATTCTACCAAATATGAGATTTTGTTTTCAAGGAATAGAGCGGATTTGCAAAGCTGACGTCCACAAGCAGCTACACCCAGGTCTCTACAAATAGAATTATGGCCCTCGGAATAAACAAATTACCAATTTTTTTGTCGGTTTTCTGATTTTTTTTCTCTCAATAACTACCCTTTTAATCTCAGAATGTGGGTTCATGGAGATATCGGGTAAAGCGAAAGCTCCCCTGCATTAGCGGGCATTCACAATTTTTTTACACTAGAAGTTATTGTCCTCGGAAAAATCGAGTTTCTCAGCAATTTGCTTTCTAAATTTTTTGATTTTTACCGAAAAATCTCCTCCCATATCTAAGATTTTGAGGTCATCCAAAGAACGGGTTGAGGGAAGCTCTTTTGTATACGCCACTACGCCGCAGGTTTTTGATGAAAGTTCTGGTCCTCGGAAAAGTCAAAATTTCGCTTTTTGACCGTTTTTTGAGAACTAGTCTGTCAATCTTCGGTTTTTGGGTTCAATCGATATTAGTCTGGGTGAATCTGTTCTGTAAAAGCGGGCTTCACCCATTTTTTTTTTAAAAACGCTATGATTTTTGGTAGTGTCAACTTGCTGATTTGTTGACCGTTTTTGCACTACTCTCGATAACTTTCTTGACAAATCTGATATTAGAGGTTTAATCCACACACCAGGTTTTTGGAAGTGTACTATTATAAATTGCTATGTCCAGTTTCTTTTAGAAAAATATGGACTGCAAACAAGTAAAGTTTCGAAACTCTCACCACTTTTTGGAAGTTGTTTGTTTCTACTCGAAAATTACCGTGCCATTTCTCAGGTTAAGTGTTCAATCGAGAAACCCAATTGTGGGAATCTTCTCTGCTTTACCGGCCACGACGTGCCTTTAGCAGAAAAAGTTGCGGATTCCGGAAAGTTGAGTTTTTGAACTTGGACCGTTTTTTTGTTGAAATTTTGAATTTTCTTAGCTACCCTATCAAATCCTTAGATGAAAATTTCAATCCAAAGAAGCGGTGGTGCGAATGTTTCCTGCAGAATCTGGTACTCCTTAATTTTTCGTAAGAGAAAAGTAATGGGAAAACTAAAATCTCTACTATTTTTCCCCTATTCTTACTTACTTCAGAGATATTTTTGAAATTACGAATTTCTTCCCATATCAGTGTTACAAAATCAAAAAATTATCTCCAAGTTTAGCTGGGCCCTAGGTATCCTTCATCGAGAAATACGAAGTTTTTAAAATCTTGTTCTTGCAACATTTTTCTTGTTTTTCCCTTGCTGTTTTTATGATTGTGTTTTATCGCAAGTGGTGCGAGGCTTCGGCTGTGTAAATATTCAGTTTGTTCTTTATTCAATTTTATGTTCTGAAAATATCAATTTCGGGAGAAAAGCTTGAATTTTAATAAGCTAAAAATAGCTCTAGTCTAACTCAATTTTTTCTGATTTTTTTTTCAATCAGTTTTTTCTAGTTATTTCTGACTGACTCCTTGATTACTCTTGCGATAAGCAGCAAGGGCATTGCAATCGGGTGCTAGACTTTTTTTCCGTAAAAACTTTTTCACAGAATGATCGTTTTAGGAATGGTAAACATCACTTCTGATATCCTCAAATTCTTGAATTTCGATTAAAACCCCAATCATTTAATTTAAATAGCTAAAGATTGTTTCAGGTTGTAATTAATTTTTCAAAAAAAATGCATTTTTTTTGGGTTTCTGATATTCGTCCTAATTTATAGCGGTTCATTTTACGTTTTTTAAAAAGTTAATATATTTTTATCTGGTAGGGTTTTTTGGCTAGGGTTTATCCTCAAGGGCTTTGTTCCAATTTAACAGTTTTTACTATTCAGTAATTTGTAAATTTACCACTTCTGATTTTGCGTTAATTATTTTTTTTTTCATTTATATATACAATTTGTTTTTTAGGCTTAGCCAGCATGTATTGCCTAATTGTTAAGGCAAAATTGTTGTATAGGGTTATGTGCTTCAGTATGAATGGGTCGTAAAGACCTATAAAGTTTCAGTAAATTTTTTATGACAAGTTTTGTTTTCGGCTAAATTGGTTTCGATCCTAATCTTTTCACCTTTGTTGCCGCTCGGTGAATGATTTTCAGTAGATTTAAGGCTGTTTTTAAATTTCATTCGATTTAATCATGAAGTTTTTGTAACTGACGTTTTTCCAATTTTTTCCAAGTTTTGTTTTCAAGTAATTTTTTCAACCTTTTTTCTACGTTTTTTTTTTCAATTTTTGTCCACTGAGTATAGTGTAGATTGTTTTGTACCTTTTGGAATTTTTGTTGAAAATATTCTTCTCAATAACTTGAAGTGAATCATCGAATCGTGATGCGTCAATCTGTCCGAGCTTATCTACCAGTTTTTCTATACATTATTTATTTGGATTTTCCTTGGCATTTGTATAAAAAAAACAGTGCCTTTGTTGACCTGCTTAATAAAATGCCAATAATTTGCAATATTCAATGGTTTTTTACACGAGAAGTCCTGCTACTCCTTAATTTTTGTAAGAGAAAGGTAATCTCAAAGTTTTCACAATTCTTATTTAATATAGTATGGAATTTTTTTTAAACGATTTTCGTCCTACATCAGTTATACAAATTCAAAAAGCTTCATAAAGCTACCTCCAACTTTAGCTGTGATATGTCAATCCATCCGAGATTATGATTTT